TCATCTGCTCCACCTGTGAGTCTTCCTCAGCCTCTTCCTCCTGATGTCGCTCCCAGCAGCTCACGAACCATTTTGCTGTCAAAGCTTTTGTTTTTCAGAAGGTTGTGTCTGTGAGGCTGGAGAAACCCTTCAGCCTGGATCTGAACTCTGCAGCAGTGAAGGAAGAGCTGCTGAGTCAGGTACATCCACCAGCAGGTGGCGCTGCAGCGCCAACGCAAGTGTTAATGTTCTGCTAATGTAAAACCAAAAAACACAATTTTAATCTGGATATTAATCTGCATAAATGTGATGATTCCTCCTCCTCCAGCTGCTGCTGAAGCTGAAACAGGAAGGACTGACTGCAGACGTGAAGCTGAGCTGGAGGAAACAGTCAGACGGAAACGTTTTCCACAAAGTGAAGGAGAAAAATCCAATATCAGTCTGAGAAGATCTGCTGCTTTCTTTATGAAGTTAATAAGCCTGATTATGTAACGTTCAGGCATTCAGCAGTTATAGTTATTATGTTCCCTTAGAATTAATAAAACATTCATTCAGGCATTAAAACAAACATATTTAGTTGCTAGATGTTGGTTTGTTGTATTTGTGATTAATTTTACTGCTAATGTTTGCAATAACAGCAATAAAGACAATGTTCAATTGATATGATGGCGCCGTCAATCAGTTCAGTCGGTTTGTTGCAATTTGTCCCGAAGTGAACAGTGAACATCCTTTGATGATTGTTTGCCATTAAATGCTGCAGTCATAGAGATTTGGTGGAAAAATCAGAAAAGTGTTCAGTGATCAGTGGGACATGCAGAAAGCAGATTCACAGAGCATTTAGATGGTGGAATGAACTTTATCCCATTTTCCAAACTGGAGTCTGGAAAAATGTAAAAGAGGAGAAATGGCAATACACAAACATGTAAATATGGAATATATATGAATATATGTATGAAAACATCACCTCTGTTTGCTTTTCGTTACAATTTAAAAAGTTCAGAGCCAACCAGTCTACAGAGCCGCACGGTTTTTCAACCGTCGTTTGATTGTGGAGGTTGTCTAAGATTCAACTGCTCTTTTCCCCCAGGCCTTGAAAACAGCAGTCATCAAACCACTGTTAAAAAAGAACAACCTGGACAAATCACTATTGCAGAATTACAGGCCGACCTCTGACCTCTGTTGAAATAGAATTTTAAGTTAGCACAATACTGCACAGGATAGTTTTTGATACATATGAAATATAACATAGAAAGTTAAAGTACACTATATGTTCATATAAATTTAGATGAAACTAAAACAACGGCTCACTCTCTGAACGCAGATAAATTCTTAAAGGAGGATTAGACAGAAAACAGTCTTAGACTCCTTGGATCTCTTTAGACAGGGAGTCTGTCTGCCAGGCAGTTAACAAATTCCTGAGCATGGTTCAAAAGTTCACTAGGATCTTAAAACTTTTTATAAATAATTTTATCTATATTAGAGTTAACTATATTTCTTTAAGCATGTTTCGAATTAGTTACTTCTTAGATCCAAACTTATAGTCATTATTTAGCATTACATTTTGTGCAAGCTTGCTTAAAAAAACACCAACTAGTTTCTTGTTAAAGCATCTTGAGGCAGAGATAACGCTGCAGTTCCACGCTGTAAATCAGGTCGGAGCCTGGTACGAGAAGAGCTGGAGGTTTGGGTCTGAGAGGTAATAAAATTAACATTAAGACAGCCCACACAAAGGAAAACACACCTCCTAATGCATATATTTAAATGAGGAGAAAACACATTCTATAAATGATTTGTTTTACAGCAGAAGTCAGAATCTCTTTGTGCTGAGTGAGAGTTTCCCGGAGGATGCATCTTCTGTTAATCTTTTGTCTTTTTACTCAGGTCTTTGTCTCTGTTTTGTCATGTCTCGGACTTTTGATAATCTGGGTGAGATGCTTGTTGTAACATTCTGAACTGCATTGAATTCTTTGGATAAAACTCTGAATATCTGAAGTCTGACGTCGTATTATTGCTCTTTTCTCTCTGCACACTTACACAGACACAAGAATTCGGGACAAAGAATTAATTAACGAGCTAAATCAAGTTATATCCTCTTTTTAATTCTTAACACCTCCCATTCATCAGCAAAGTTATTGAAAAAACTGTAAACAATTAAATAGTTTCCTCATGATGACCAACTGCTTTGACTCTTTCCAGTCTGGTTTTCGTGCTCACCACAGCACGGAGACTGGCCTAGTCAAAGTATTCAATGATATCCATATCAATACTGACTGTGGGAGAACCACGGTGCTGGTTCTGGTTCTGGTTCTGTTGGACCTCAGTGCAGCTTTTGACATATTACTGAATCGACTGGAGAGTTGGGTCGGACTCTCCGGTTCGGTGCTCGACTGGTTTGAATCTTACATAAAGAACAGGGATTTCTTTGTTTCAATTGGAAACTTCTCATCAAAGAGGTCAAAGGTCACATGTGGGGTTCAATCCTAGGACCCCACTTATTTAATATTTATATTCTCCCACTAGTTCAGGTTATAATAGGAAATAATATTAGCTACCATAACTATGACACACAGGTCTACATTATGATGTCACCAGGTGACCTTTGACCCCATCCAATCACTGAATAAATGTTTAGAACAGATAAATGTGTGGATGTGCCAAAACTTTCTCCAACTGAACAGAAACAAAACTGAAGTCATTATTTTAGGACCTAAAGAGGAACGATCTAGAGTTATAGATCTAGAGTTATAGATCTAGAGTTATAACTCTAGCTCTAGAGCTATAACTCTAGCTCTAGAGCTATAGATCTAGAGAGCTATAGCGCCATAGATCTAGAGTTATAGATCTAGAGCTATAGATCTAGAGAGCTATAGCGCCATAGATCTAGAGTCATAGATCTACAGCTATAGATCTAGAGTTATAGATCTATAGCTGTAGATCTAGAGTTATAGATCTATGGCTCTAGATCTAGAGTTATAGATCTAGAGATATAGATCTAGAGTCAATGCACAGCTTCAGTTATTACAACTAAAAACTAGCGATCCTGGGAGTAGTGATGACCTCTGACCTGAACCTTGCCAACCACATAAAGACAATTACAAAGTCAGCCTGTCATGTTCCGGGGTTTTCTTTCAGCTCCTTGTGGAGTTTTTGTGTATGCACTGGTTTTGTTTCCACCACTAGAGGGAGCCTATTCCATTTGGTCGGAGGGCGAGGATGACGTCATCCCACACCTGAGGCGAATTGAGCTCATCAGCGAGACGTTCAAGAGAGGCAGACTGCCAGTCCTTCGGCGCCTGAGTGTTAGCCAGTCATGGTAGCTCCAAGCCCCTAGAAGCTTGCTTCTGTTACTCTGTTTCCTAGTGAAAAAGAAAACTTCCTTGTTGTTTTTTTTCTCGCCTTCAGGTGCTTCCTCCTGGGCTCTCGTTGTCCGAGCCCCCAGACTCACTCCATCCGTGAACCATCCAGCTCCTCCCAGATTCCCACGACTGGCAGTCGTACTGCTTTTCTACCGCCGCCGCTCTAGCCTACCTGTCCGCCCTCCGACGTGCTCCCGTTTCTTCCTGGATTTCAGCCAGCCAACATCACCGCGACCTGGAACCACTGAGAACCGTAAACCCCGGACATTTCAGTACTCCCTCACCTCGCTAACCCAGCGGTCATCAATGAACTGCTTGTTTCCTGTTGTCGCCTTTCTCCCTGGACCGACCGAGCCTTCAGTGCTCTGCAGCAGTGTCTTCAATAAACTTCACCTTTTTTCTGTACTACAGTTTTCCCCTGAGTGTGTTCTGCATTTGGGCTAACTATTCACTCCCATTATGACACAGCCTTCTATCACCTGAAGAACATCTCCAGGATTAGAGGACTAATGTCTCAGCCAGATCTAGTGAAACTCATCCATGCGTTTATCTTTAGTCACATTGATTATTGTAACAGCGTCTTCACAGGCCTGTCCAACAAATCAATCCTCCAGCTGCAGCTGATCCAGAAGCTGCTGCTCCTGTTCTCACTAAAACCAGGAAGATAGAGACATAACTGCAGTTTTAAAGTCCCTCCACTGGCTCCCTGTAGCTCAAAGAATAGATTTTAAATACTGTTAGTTTATAAATCACTGAACGGTTTAGCACCACAATACATCAAAGATCTGCTGTTGTTGTATCAACCTTCCAGACTCTCAGGTTCTGGTTCTGGTTCTGCTCTGCATCCCCAGAACCAGAACCAAGAGAGGAGAAGCAGCTTTCAGCATCTATGCACCACAAATTTGGAACAAACTTCCAGAAAACTGTAAAACAGCGGAAACCCTGACTTCCTTTAAATCTCAAGTAAAAACCAGCTGATTAGAGTTTTATTAGAAATGTAATATGGAACAATGTGTTGTCTATTATATGTTGCATGACTTTGTGTTTATGACTTTGAAATGCCTTGCTGCTGGAACGTGCTATACAAATAAAATTAATTTCATTGATTGATTGTAAAGAATGACACACAAAACTGTGGAATAAATTCTTGTTTGCATCTTTATGTCGAAACGTCGTGGAAGTTTTTATTTTCCTCTTCAAATACTCGAGTGAATACAGAGAATAAATCTTGTGGCAACACATGAGTCTCAAACCGCTCAGTCTCTGGATCTGCAGTTTGTCCTCATCCTTCATCTCTTCCTGGAAACACCAACCTGTTCGGATCCAGTTCGAGACCAGAACCGCTCCTCCATGAATCCTGATGGTTTATCGTTTTATAGATGTAGAGCTTCAAGAGCCACACTCATCACAGACGCATCATCAGGTCCTAAACTCCCAGCCTGGAGGTCTGAGAGTTGATCTGCTGGGAGTTGATCTGGTGACCAGCAGCGACTGACCGTCAGCTCCAGGCGGCGCGTCACACTCCCCTTTTCTGTAAACTTTACAGTTTCATCTGTGAAGCTGTTTAATCTGGACGGATGTCCAGAAACTAAAGCTGAAGAATCGACTTCTAGAAAAAGTTTCTGGATGATTTCATCCTGGTTTCTGTTGCCCTGCTGCTTCCAG